TAAAGTCTATTAGGGTGATGCTAGCCATTGCTGCTTTTCATGATTATGAAATATGGCAGATGGACGTCAAAACCGATTTCCTTAATGGGAAGTTGGCTGAGGATGTTTACATGAGTCAGCCAGAGGGTTTTGTCGATGCAAAGCATCCTAATAAAGTGTGTAAGCTTGAGAAATCCATTTATGGATTGAAACAAGCATCTCGCAGATGGAATCTTTGTTTCGACGAGAAAGTCAAAGAGTTTGGCTTCCTGCGAAGCGAGGATGAATCATGTGTATATGCCAAAGCCAGTGGGAGTATAGTTAGCTTCCTCGTATTATATGTCGATGACATACTGCTCATAGGAAACGACATCCTGACCCTACAGGAAGTCAAGTCCTGGCTTGGGAAGTGTTTTGCTATGAAGGACCTCGGAGAGGCTGCCTATATTTTGGGAATAAGGATAGTGAGAAATAGGAGTAAAAGACTAATAGGACTTAGTCAGAATACTTACTTGGAAAAGGTACTAAAACTTTTTAGTATGGAGAATTCCAAGAAAGGGGAGTTACCGATCCAAAGTAATGCCAAGTTGAGTAAGACTCAAAGTCCGAGTACCGAAGTCGAGATAGCAGAGATGAGTCGAGTACCTTATGCTTCCGCAGTTGGCTCAATCATGTATGTTATGACTTGTACTCGCCCTGATGTGGCCTTCGCTTTGAGAATGGTCAGCAGATATCAAGGGAACCCTAGCAGAGCACATTGGGCCGCAGTCAAGAATATTCTTAAGTACCTTCGGAGGACCAAGGAATGGTTTTTAGTACTCGGTGGGAGTGATGAATTAAGGGTGCGAGGGTATAGTGACGCCAGTATTCAGACCGACCGAGACAACTACCGTTCTCAGTCAGGCTGGGTCTTTACCCTAAATGGAGGAGCAGTGACTTGGAAAAGTTCCAAGCAGGAGACCATAGCTGATTCAACGTGCGAATCAGAGTACATAGCGGCGAGCGAAGCGTTAAAGGAGGCAATATGGTTGAAGAACTTCATCGGAGACCTTGGAGTTGTGCCAGCCATAAAGGAGCCTATGGAGATATTCTGCGATAATGAAGGAGCGGTTGTCTTGACCAAGGAACCGAGGGATCATGGCAGATCCCGACATATCGACAGGAAATATCATTTTATTCGACATCGGGTGGAAGAGGGACTCCTCGTAGTGAAGAGGGTATTGTCAGAGGATAACCCAACAAATCCCCTTCCGAAGGGACTGAGTAGGGTTAAGCACTTGCAGCACGCTAGGAGCATTGGGCTGAAGGACGATATTATTTTAGATTAGATAGTTTCGAAACGTGTAATAGTTAAATTGTAACTGACATTTGATGATTAAATAAATGAGTATTATTTATGAGTAAAGTTACTATCTTATGTTAATTGTTTACCTATTGTTACACATTGCATGTTTTGACTTCCTGAATAATAAGATTATTCGAACAGTCCACAGTCGCTTATACTTTGGAAGTAGGTATAAATGAAGACTGCCATGAATTGGTTTGTAGAATGTCTAAAGTGTATTAGACATATCAAAAGTATGTTGCAACGTTCATAAGTGCTTATGAATAAGATTTGAGCATTGGATTAGACCTACGCTTGCTGGACTCACTTCATGGAATTTATCACGAGTGATCGCAAGAAGATAATATCATATGGTCTTGAAACCTAGATATATGGTTTATTGTTTGCAAGTTGGTTGTGCATTGATAATGTGTAAACACATCGGTAACTTGATGTTATAAAACGCATTGTTGACTTGTTGTGCATGATTTGATGAGTGAATGGTAAATGCATATAAGTCGAAGTTTATCTGTTCCTTTTATCCTAAGAGGGTAAAAGCGATATCTGGGCCCCTCGATGATTTGGTTTGACTTATGTGCCGGGCCCGGTCAGGACTGAATTGATGTGTTCAATTAAGTTCTATGTCAGACAAATCTAAGATCGAGAAACAAACTGTTGGACAATAAGTATGACTATGTTCCATGTAATTGTCCACACGATATCAAGAACGAAGGACTATACGATACCTTATCTAAAGGACAAGTTACTGATAAGATCAGAGTTCGACAGCGGCTTATGAAAGCTACGATTGCTAATCGGATCCTGAAGTCGTACTTGCATTTGTAGTTATTAGACTTATCCAAGTGGGATACTGTTGGATTAGTGTCTAAGTCCATAACTATATTTGGTATGTACTTGACCTGGTTGTAGCATGGTCCTTGGGTTGCCTTCACACTGGTGACTAGACAGGATGACTGTTGAGGAGAGAGGCTGATTTATTGTTAAGAATAATAAATTGGGGTATAAATATGATTTGTTAATATATTATATGAATAATATATTAATTTGGAATCATATTATTAATTGGTATTTAATCAGAAATTAATTAGGAATTAATTTTGGGATTAAAGGAATTAATTAAAGTGCAGGGGCTGTTTTGTAATTATTTGATAGTTGAGACTTTGGGCCATTGGATCACCTTTATTAAGGCTTGTCCGAAAATCCTAGAAGGATCTAGGAGTTTTAGTCCAAGGGCTTAAGGAAAGGAGCCCATGGGTTTGCTTAGGCCCTAAGCTAAGGGATTAGGGTTTCCACCTTGAAACCCTAGTTGACTTCAACTATAAATAGCACCCTAAGGCACTCAAAATTGGCACCCCTTGGAGAAACCCTAGCAGAGCCGATTTTGTGAGCTTGTTCCCCTCCATCCTCTCTCTCATATTCATCATTTCACTCAAGTGTGTTTGTGAGCCATTAGAGGTACTACACTTGTGGTACTTGCTTTCAAAGCTAAGGAGATTCAAGAAACAAGTTGTTATTACTACATAACAAAAAAGGTATGTGTTCTATTCTTCTATGTGAATTTTGAAAATTGTAGGAGCATGTCAGGTTTCTTTTTGTGTTCATAAAGTTGTATGTCTAATAGTGAAAACATAGATCCAATTAGGGTTGCATGCACACATAGGATTGTTTGTGTAAAACCATCACCCTCATCTCCTCCCACTACTAGAAAAACAGCCTTTTACGACGCGCAATGCGTGTCGTAAAACACTCAGACGACACGCAAATGCGTGTCAAGGAAGGCCCTGTCATAACGAGAGACGACACGCTTTTGCGCGTCGTCTATTTACGACGCGCATTTATGACACGCATTTACGACGCACAGTTATGACACACAATGCGTATCAAGGAAGACCCTGTCATAAAGTAAGACGACACGCGTGTTTATGACACGCAATGCGTATCAAGGAAACCCCTGTCATAAATGAAGATGACACACATCTGCGTGTCATAAACTTAAGTGACCATTTACGATATGCATTTACAATGCGTCTTTACGATACTCATTTACGCATAATACAAAAATATGTAAACAAATATATACCAAAACAATCAATTTCATCCAATAACATCATGTCAAAAAATTGTAATACATTGATATTAAGGGGATCTAATTGTACATTGTTATTAAGAGGTTTTCCCTAACTATATAACCCAATACTACATTGCTATTAAGGGACACCTTCTGCAATGTAATGCTATACAAACTAAAAAGATATACACAAAGATGATAAACATCAAATTCCAACTAAATAGAGTTGCATCTTGCCTTTCATAATTCTGTAAGACTAATGAACCCCTGCTCCGATAATTCTTGTGACCTGATCAAATAAAAGTCAAAAAATTAATATGCTAATATAATTATTAGAAGAATCAAATATGGAATGTTCGTTGCAGATAATACCTCAGGCTAATAGACAATCCTTGATCCTATGAACTAGAGAGTATATGATCACAATTCCATCTAACACCACCCATGAGAACCTGTAAAGCTACTCAACCAGCATATCATGTCATGTAATGTATTTTTTGTCAGTCTATTTTTTGCCACATACTCTCAGTTTCATTCAATACTATCATCTCAATTTCCGACCGATGAGGGTAGCGATTCACTATAGCAGAGTCCACAATCTTCAAACATTAAGATTTCATACAATAATACATCAATGCACATTAATGAAACATTCAAAGTTACACCAATTTAAAGATGGGACTACTTGAATAACAACAAGACCCTGTCAAAGCTTACCTGAGTTTGTTCAGGTATAAGGAGGCTATCCTTTCCTTTATCCACTAAAGAATCTGCCAAAGAGACCTATAAAAAAAATTAAACTTGCATGACAGAGATTATATATGTTGCCTAATACCAGACCTAATATGCATAAACCAAATGCCAACTTCAAGTAAGTAAATAAAGAAAGCAAACTGGAGGAAGAGAAAACCAGAATTATGTAGATATGGCAGCCGGAAGCAACATAAATCGAACAAGAAGTTCCGTCATCACTAACCTGAGCATAATAAGTTCAAATTAGTAAGAACAAAAAAACGGCTTATAATGCAGGTGTTAGAGCTTTAGCTACTATGTCGGACCAAGAAGACATGAAATTACATACTAAGTCTCATTTGAATATAAATATATGTAAAAACTAGAAATATATACATGAGAATAGTGGAATTGAGACATATAAATTACATGAAGGGAAAGGCGATTGGATTGAAGATTGGCAGGAGATGGGTACTCTATCAGATCTAGTGTCCGCATGAGCACGTAAATTCAAGAGCAGTATTTGAAGCTGAGGTTTGTATATTGGCTGGATAACAAAAGATAAAGAACAGAAGGATGAGAAGGTGTGAGTAGCAGTGGAAATCATGGGCTATAACTATGGTCTGGGACCTTGATATTGAATGGTCTTTTAAGGGTTGTTTCTTGAAAGAGGCTTTCGCTCAATGATGAAGAAGGGATTCGATTTCGGAAAGTAGCAAGGAAACTCTTTCAGTTATTTGCAGTAACAAGGTTCCTCAATCAATATCACAAAATAAAAATATTTAATTTGAGTGTAAAATCCTAATGCTTACTCATTAAATAGACCATGAACATCAAGATCATTCTCCCTTAGCTTTGGGCTAGTGCTATACCATCCTACCACATGCTCCTTAGCTGCAACAACAAACTTCAATATTTCAAAAACAACTTTACTGCATAAACTAGGAAAAAGATGAATTAAAACCATATCAATAATATATGTTTTCTTTGTTATCTTTATCATTTATAATATCGATAATTCTTGACAACTTAGTAATAGAAAAGATCATTATTTATCATTTTCCTCTTAGTTGCTGTAACTTTTGGAGCTTCACTTAATGTGTTGTGAATACATAGTACTCTCTAATCATAGAACCTAAAATACCCTTTGCATAATGGAAGAAAATGATGGGGGAAGAGGAGGAGCAGGAGAAGGAGCAACCGACAATCCTAGCCCAAATAGGTTGATCATATGTTTGATGATCCTTCCTGTTTCGCCTACAATAAAAAAAAAAATTATTGACCCACATTTCACTTTGTTTCTCATAAAGTGGTAAAATTTTATAAAAGAAAAAAGATATCGGGAATAGAAATAAGATTTGGACTTCCAACCATTGATCTAAGCCACAGGATTTTACTCTTACCCTCTTTTCCTCCACTATAATTACCACGAACTGCATATAAGTTTGTATGGAAACCTTTCCCTTCAATTTCCAGCTTCTCTATTTTAGGAATCCCTGAAAAAAAATCCAAGAAACCTGTTTATATATTAATAGAATTTACAAAGTAACAAAAATGACAGATAAGAAGAGAAATAAGGTCAAGTATAGAAGACGAGACCAGGGGAAGCAGGGCAGTTTCAGAATATGTTGGTTCATTCGATCTTCCAAATATATCTGTTACAATGAATTTACATCTGAAGAAATTACCAATGTTATCAAATCACAGCTTATATGGGCATGAACATTATGATTGTAATGGCTTAAAGGATTTGTTCTCTTCTGAACAAATGTACCTATCTTTTTTATTTTTTAATACGGTATGATAAAATAAGTATTTAATATTTGCAAATACGAAACAAAGTAAGTTTTATAATTTAGAAGGATTAAAATCCTTACCAGTAAGCGCAAGCATCTCAATTCTTGTAATCTCTTAAATGTAACATAATATTTAACAAATTTGCATTTTAAGAAAAGTATATAAAATAAATCTTGAAAAATAAAAAATTAATACCTAGGAGAATTACATCAGTTGGCTCTGATAACTTCAGCTCACCAACAACCGAATCACAACGAACAGGTGTATACCATCAAAATATAGAAAAAAGGTGTTTTTTATATAGATGTATATGCATAGATATTATTAGTGAATTAAATAAAAAAGGTAGAGATATTAATTACCTGAATAATAAAAAAGCAATTGATGGGGGATAGAAGCTAAGCTTGTGTTTGAGTTTGAGTTTTGGTCTCTTTATTGATCACTTCCTATATCAGGATTCAAATTTTCATTGATTCCACCTTTTATGACGAAAGAAGTAGAATTCTTTGAGATTTCTTCATATAGTTTCTTCCTTTAGTCCACATGTTTTCAAGATTCTCTGGTTGAAGAACTTCTGTCCTTCTTTGGGCTGCTGCTACAAGAATACGGGCCCAATCAGAAGTCCGTGTAGGCATGGACTCATCTTGGATGGGCCCACTAACCATGGTGGAAGACGGGTTTACAGTTACAGAAGATTCCTTTTGGATGTTAGGGGTAGATGGTGTTTTCTCTAACTTTTGACTAGAAGAAGACCCACTGTTTGACTTTGGACCTTTTTCATTGTTTGTAACAGAAGGTTGATTCTAGGGTTGAATAGTGACATTGGACTGATCATCAACTGTTTCTTTCTCCCCCTTATTGGTAGCAAGACAAATACCCTCAATCAACTCATTAATACGCCTATTGAAAAGTGTATAAATCAAAAGTTGAAAGTGTGGAGAACTAGAAATAGAAAGAGTATGATTCTTGAATACTCACTCGGGGCTTGCGAGTCTCATTACATGTTCCATTATTAAGCATGTTAAAAGCTCTCGTGTAATGTATTGAACTAAAGGGAATTGAGCTTCTTGTAGTCTAAGAACAGCAACCAAAAGTACTCCCATAATCTGCTTAACAAACTACAAGATAAGAACCATTAATGAAAGTATTCACAAAACATCAATGAAGATTGTGATAATCTTCATCAGAACTCTCATCTTACACCTTATATTCACTCTGGGCAAATATTAAAGATGGATGAAGCTCCTTTGAAGCCATGAGATGGTGTTTCAATCTTTCATCTCTTTAGAAAATAATTTTAGCATGACCTCGCTCCCAAGAACTCGGTCAACCCAAGTGCCCAACCCACTCCAGTAAATTTGCTGGAATGCATATCCGACACGCTGCAATACCAAAAATAAAAAATAAAAAAATTATGTAAGCAAAATAAGCATATCAAATAATACAAAAAATTAATTTTATTCTTACGTTATATCAAGAGGAAAGATATTAGGAGCCATTCGCATTGCATGTTTAACCGGTAGAATTGAAACTTCTATGTAAAACCAGATAAACATAAAAGCAAAAAAAAGGGAACAGTTTTGTTGTAAACTTAATTTCTATCCTTTTTTTTACATAATGAATCATCTGAAATTGAGAGAGACAACAAAGTTAAAACATTCATATTGTTTTATAAAATCAAACATTCATATAACTTGAGTTCATTCTTCTAAATTCTAACCCTTTCTAACATTATAATAGATCAACTCAAGAATGCCCATCTTTCTCAATCCCAAAAGGTGTCTCTAAATGCCAAATCATTGATAAGGACTTTTCACAAACACTTAGCGTGCAAATTTAAAGGCCACATTCTGAAGCTGACCCATGAAACTAAACATAGACATACACGATTCACTACTACCTCGTGGATTGTTAATGCTTCTGATGTTGAAACAACTAGTTCCACTGCATCTGTGATGTCAACTTTATGAGATTTGGGGTTTTTCCCATATTACCCCTTTAAAATTCCAAAATTTCCCCTTTTAAAATTAAAGTTAACCCAACAGCCATGGCAAGAATCAAACTCAGCAGCAGCATTTTCAAATGGAAAGAAATTATTTTGATCAACCGCAAATCAAACAAGAAGATTCCAGTATTGCCCTTTGTTTATGACATAACAATGAACCCAATAGTCTTGACTAGGATCAAAATCAGCAGTATGAAGAACAAGAAACCCTTCCATAAATTTGTCAATCATGGACCAATAACAGAAAAACTTCTGATCAAGCAGCCCCTGCTTCTCAAACCAAGGAGATTAGAAGAAAAAAATATCAAAGAAGAGGCTACTTCGATAAAAAGGAACAGGGTGCACCCATTTTTTTCCCAGTAATACCGAATTCTATCAAAATTAACAAGCTGACCAAAATGCCCCTGAATAAGTAACCACCATTTTCGAAAGCAATACAATCCAGAATAGATAAGCAAAAATAAAATTGAAAGATTGTTGTAACCCACTGACCTCAAAAGAACCCAGGCAGCCACAAGAAAAAACTTATAATCTTCCATATACCAAAAATGCCCATGACCGATATACACTTGCACCTTCAACCACCAACCAAGGACGCCAAACACACCAGGAGCTGAACCCAAGAACCTTAAGCTAATTACGTGAGATATTTGACATGGGGAGTTCAATTTATTTATTAATCACCCACCAAAAATAGATAGGGATCAATTTTGAAAAAGATATAAGATAAAAGAAATGGAGACGTCGCCATGGAGGGTAACAGTTTTAGAGAGAGAGAGAGAGAGAGAGAGATGTTGCCATGAAAACTTTATTGACTAAAACAACTAATATCTAATTTTTATCATGAGAAAACTAGTAAGCTTCGGGATTTTTCAGAAATTATGGAGGAGTGAGGATAGGAGAACGAAAACATTAGGAAGAGAGAGAAAACAAAACATACCTTAGTCGAACTAGGGCGTGTAAATTTCAGCAATCGTTAAAGTCTCTAACGAGGTCAGGTTCCAGGGTCTCCGACGAGGAGAAGTGAGCACGAGGTCACCGGAGGAGAGGTGACCAAAGAGGTTGTCGAATGAACGAGGCGAGGCGAGGTGAATCTTCTATTGTTGCTACATCCGGCCTATGAATGCTTTGACGTCTTCCCTTAATAGCGGGTGTGTGATGAGTCGAATAGAGTTCTTGTATGCCAAAACCCTAAATAGATGTGAGATTGAAGAAGAAAAGCGTACGTGAGGGAAGTGTTTTTGAAACTCTAGATGAAAATCACGATCATATGTAAGTGGGAAATAAAAGCCATAGTTGTTGGTCGCCATTTTGTGATCTTTAGGAATGAACGCGAGTTTTTAAGAAAAAAATTATAGAACGATTATATGAGTTGTCGAGGTTTATAGCAGATATGGTATCGTGATTAGGGTTTGTAGAGAGAAAGGAAGAAGAGAACGATAGGAGATCTTGAAGCGGGGTATCTAAAAATTTTGGAATTTTAAGAGGATTTCATTTCCCCCTTTTAAGAACGCGCGTTTTGAGTAAAAATCATAAAGCGGCGTTCACAGAGGACGCACATTTTAGATAAAGTGCCCTCCGTGTTTTTAATTTTTTACATGAGACACTAATTTAAGGGCACGCAATAATGTGTGACCTAAATCCTTAAAATTTTTGAAGAGATGACACTTTTTTTAATGTCACTCTCTTTTGCGTAACATAAATCAATGAGTGTCGTGGTTTGCGCGTTGTAAAAGAGTCTTTTTCTTGTAGAGTCATCGGGCTCCCATGTCCACTCTGAACCCTTGCATGTCCTCGAGAGTCTGTATCGTCCTCTCGCTCTGCCCGTCCGTCTGAGGGTGGAAAGCGGTGCTGAAGTGGAGATGAGTACCCATCTCCTCGTGAAACCGCTTCCAGAATCTGGAAGTGAAACGAACATCTCGGTCTGACACCACCGAGACAGATACTCCATGCCGTGCCATTATCTCATGCACGTATATCTCGGCCAACTTCTCGGACGATATGCTCTCCTGGATCGGGATAAAATGAGAACTCTTGGTCAACCGATCCACGATGACCCATATCGAATCTACTCCACGTGCGGTCCTGGGAAGCTTGGTAATGAAATCCATGGTGATGTCATCCCATTTCCACACGGGAATGTCTAACGGCTGCATATTGCCATGTGGTCTCTGGTTCTCAGCCTTGACCTTCCTGTAGGTCAAGCACTGCTCCACGTACCAGGCAACGCCCCACGTCATGCAGGGCCACCAATAATCAGGGCGAAGATCCCGATACATCTTCGTCGCCCCAGGATGGATGGAGAACCTCGACTTATGGGCCTCAACCATCAGAACCTGCCGTACTCCACCCCAGTACGGAACCCAAACCCTCCCATGCAGGGTTAACAACCGTCAACTGTCATAATCAAACAAGGCCACCCGGCCTACAATCCGCTCACACTTTTGGCGCTCTTCTTTCAGGCCCTCAACTTGCGCCTCTCTAATCTGTTCCAACAGTGGAGTAACCACTGTCATCCTCAAACATATATCTCTAATCGGAGCCGCCACCACCTTGCGGCTCAGGGCGTCGGCCACCACATTGGCCTTGCCCGAGTGGTAAAGAATCTCACAGTCATAATCCTTCACCACATCTAACCACCGACGTTGCCTCATGTTCAGATTCGGCTGATCCATGAGGTACCTCAAACTATTGTGGTCCGTGTAAATGGTACAACAGACTCTGTAGAGGTAATGCCGCCAAATCTTGAGGGCCAAAACCACATCCCCCAGCTCTAAATCATGTGTCTGATAGTTAGCCTCATGAGGCTTCGGCTGCCTCGACGCGTAAGCTATCACATGACCTCTCTGCGTCAAAACTGCACCCATGCACGTAATCGACACGTCACAATAAACTACAAAGTCATTACTCCCTCGGGCAGAGTCAAAAACAGTGCCTCGCATAACTGCTGTCTAAGAGTCTCGAAGGCTGCCTGCTGCTCAGGCCCCCAGCGGAATGTCACCGACTTCTTGGTCAGTCGGGTCAGAGGGACAACGATCTTGGAGAAATTATGAATGAATCTCCGATAATAACCCGCTAGACCAAGAAAACTTCGAATCTCAGTTGGAGACCTCAGAACATCCCACTGCATCGCAGCCTCTATCTTGGCCGGATCAACCAGAATACCCTTATGGTTGACGAGATGCCCAATAAACTACACCTCGCGCAACCAGAACTCACACTTGGAGAACTTCGCAAAAAGTCTCTCCCTCCTCAGTGTCTCCAGCACATCCCTCAGGTGCTCCTCATGTTGCTCCTAAGTCTTGGAATAGACCAAGATATCATCGATGAAGACTATCACAGACCGATCCAACATCGGTCTGCACACGTGGTTCATGAGGTCCATGAATGCGGCTGGAGCATTGGTAAGCCCAAACGACATAACCACGAACTCATAGTGACCATAGCGAGTCCTAAAAGCTGTTTTCTGCACATCCTCATCTCTGACTCGCATTTGGTGATAACCCGATCGCAGATCAATCTTGGAGAACCAAGATGCACCCTGTAGCTGGTCAAACAAATCATCGATCCTTGGGAGGGGATAACGGTTCTTCACCGTTACCTTATTCAGCTCCTGGTAGTCTATGCACATCCGATGCAACCCTGCTGAAGGTAGCGCCTCGACCTCGCTGCTGAGCATAAAGTCAATCCACTCTGCGGCCTCTCACCTTGTATCACTAACCCTCCCCCACTAGGAGTCCAAATTCTCACTAGCTCCTGCTCTCAGTCGATCACTGCCCCATTGGGGTTCAACCAATCCATACCCACTATAACCTTATTCCCTCGCAGAGGAATAGGAACCAGATCCACTGAAAACTGCTCGTCGAATAACTATAGTGTACAAACTCTGTGAACCTTCGCAACCCTAACGGTCCTGTCATCAGCTATCTCCACATCAAGTGGGCAATCCAGCTCCCCCGGAGCTCCTACGAATCGCTTGCTGAGTGTGAGCGACACAAAAGATCGGGTAGCGCCTGAATCAAACAGTACGAAGGCCGATATACCTTTCACTAAGAACGATCCTATAACAAACACATAAATATAAGCAATAATCAATACAAATAAAGAGATAAGGAGAAGGTACATACCCGTAACGACATCAGGAGCTGCACGTGCCTCCTCTGCTGTCAACTGGAAGGTTCTGCTCTTCGCCACTAGCGTCTCTGTTCGACCCTGACGACCGTCTGTAATCCTCAATGTAGCAGGGGCATGT